GATCTTGTAAATACATATAATAAGCTCGAACATCTTTAGTCATATTCTTCGAGCCATATTTCTAATTGAAACATAAGTTTTTACGATACAATCATTCGTATATAATAAAGAAAACCAACTTTTCCGTTAAGAAAATATCAATTGCCTATATAGAGTGTCGATGCAGCAACAAGAAAAAGTGGAGGTGCAGTAATATAGCAAGCGATGAACGAATTTCAAATCAAATCATTTTTATCTAAAAGAATAAAAATATGGAAGACATTGATTGACAAAAGAAAAACAAAACAATAAAAAATATAAATGACTAGTGAAATGTTCGATTAAGATATTTATATGCTGAATGACTATTTGTCACGAGATGTTGCCAAACATGTAAAAGACGATTGACTGATAATGGCATATGACCAAAAGCAAGTGAAGAAAGACCAAATGGTGAAAGAAAACGTTGTTCGACTAGATCAATATTAATAACAAATAGAGAATTAATAAATAAATACTTAACATAAATAGATGATCGAATTGCTTGTGGTAGAATACCAGTAATATAATAATCATCAATCCAAAAGAAAGGTACATGTTGAATTGCTTCAAAAAGTGGTCGAATTAAATCTTGAGTTATAAAATATGCAGAACCCGAACAATAAGGTTCAAAATGTTCATATGGATATTCATCAGATGAAACAAACCATTTTGATGATGGATCTCGTGTAACACGCATTCGTGTCCATACAAGACAAGCTATCGTAGAATGCCATGCTTCAGTTGGATAGACATATGTTAAAGTATAAAGATGATTTAGAACAGAAAACATATTTATTAACATATCATCATCGGTTTTTAATATATATGATACTTGATTACAATGATGTAAAATCCAATTAAGTGCCATTATACCTTTATATGTTAAATTTCTATATGTATCAATAAATGTTTGTTGAACAATATCACGATATGTATCAAATTCAAATTGTGCTTGTTTCATTAATTCTTTATTATGACTTGAACCAAGCATAAATAGAACACGTATGTGTTTTCCAAATATTGAACGTGATCCCCATGTTGAACGAATTGATTCTCGACGATGACGATTTTCTATAGCTGAATGAACATAAACAATTAAAAGTAATGATTCATCTGTTGAACATATATCATCTCCAGGTTCTAATATATAATCAAAATGTTTTGCTGCTGGTTTAACTATATATATTCGAGGATTTGATTGATTTATTGGATAATTTGCTAATAAAATCCATACAACGAAAAAAATGACTAATAACGAGCCATATACTGCTCGATAACGTATACCCATAAGTCATCTATAAAATAAGATAATTCGATATATCTGACAATATAAGATAAAACAAATAAGAGAAAAAGAACAATAAGACCAGAAAAGTTTTTGACATTTATCATTAATTATAAAGTTAATGTTAGATGATGATGATGAAGGAGAAGTAAATAATTGTTTTATAACATCCCTGGCTTTGCGAGGTGTTATTAGTGGTTGATTTTTGGAGATAGAACTAGTTGTATCTTGTTTAGGAGACTCAACAAAAAGACGATGTCGAACTTCTTAAAAAAATTTAAATAAAAAAATATAGTATTATATTTCGTCATTGATATTTATATTTGAATAATATACTTTCATATGATTGTAGTGATAGAACAGATTTTGATGTGAGTTGTATGTCATTGGATTTAGGTAAATATTTCTGTGCTTCACTTACAAAATGTCTTAAAATATCATTATAACGAGATACACGATTAACTACTTGAGATAGGTGAACAGTTGTCGATTTGATTGATTAATTATCATAAATGGAAATATTATATACTTAAAAGAAGAATAAAACGATTTAAATAAAATAGAACTTCTTTTTGAAAATGAAAATCATATTTATCTTTAATAACAGAGTATTTTTACAAAGTGTACAGACTGTAGTCCGACTCAGCTCGGGTCATAATAGATTGAACGATATCTAGCTTCACATAGGATAAATAGGCACTCTAGATGAGATAATAATTTTATTCTTGTCAATTTTTGAGAGAGCTCATATGGATTTATTAAAAAGAATGTTTAATCTCTAAAAAATAAAACTCACTCTGGTAGGGACATTAGAATATCTAACCGTATGACAACGGCCTTCTGCATTAATTTTCTTGAATTAACACGTCTTACAAAAACCAATAGATACATACTACAGTAAACCGTCGAAGACAAACAAATCACTTGAAACATTTATGTAAATGAGTGGAAGCTATTCAGACATGAGACAGGACTAGCTATGCTAATTCCAATCTTCATGCGGATACCATGCACTTATTAATAGTAGGTATTTTGTGAAACGCGATCTAAAAGAAGTATTAGTAAAATACCTTCTGAGTGCTGTTTTACTTAGCATGTGTGCCAGTCGATAGAGCTTGAGATTCTAAGTCTAATGGACTATAGTCTGAGCCACAAACTCAAACAAATAAATATTCGGAAAAATGACGTTCGATGAAGTTATGAAAAATGCCTGATGGCTCTAGTAGGTTCAAACTATGTAGCCGAGCTACATTTGACTTCATTTTTCAAACTTCTATTTTCAGAGTTTTAAGCTCTATTGACTAATATATGTCGCAAATAAAACTTTCTCAGAGAATATCTTATCAATATGTCACAGACGCCTTGGCAATGTCCTTCTCTTCGACACAAACGATGACAGATCTTTTCAATATACGATCAAAGACCGGATATTAATAACGTTTTATTATACTATATGAACTACTTCCTTATTAAGTTTCTGGACGATTAAGTAAAAAGATGATGAAGAAATGTGTTCTAAAATAGAACGAATAAGACAATCCCCCTGTGATTAACAAGAGAAGATACATTATATTTCATATTTTTATTCCGCACGGATTACGCTTACTGCTTTTCTTATGGTAAAAAATGAGGAAGCATTAAAAACAAATATATCATAGAAAAAAAAAGAACTCTTCTAGTTGGAAATATATTTTGAAAAGTAATTCATTTTGACAAAGTTATAAAATCTTACATAGAATATTAGAACGAAGATAAGGAGTTTCTTCAATTATTTCTTTTGATAATGAATTTATATTAGATCTATTAAATTCATAAGAAATGTTTTTTTTTTCATTGGTATATTATCTATATTAGTTAATGATGAACTAGAATAAAATAAAATTGAAAAATTTATATGAATAGTTTTTTGTTTTAATATTCATGAATAAAATCTTGTTACGGGTAATAATTTAAAACTAAATATTCGATTAAGTATAGTTGTTGTTTTTGATGTTTTGACATTAATCATTTTACGATTTTTTTGTTAATTCAAATGGAAGTGAAGATACATTACGTTGTGAATAAATTCGTCGAGATTTTAATAATATTCGATCCGAGATCGAAGAAAAAGATCAGTCATTTTTTGTTTAAAATCAATATAGATGATTTTTTTTCCCTCATCAAATAACAACAGTTGTTGAACACGAGAAAGAGAGAGAGAGAAAATGATTATGTTTGCTTGATTGGACAAACATAATTGACAAATCAAATATGAATGATAAGCGATGTCGCTCAAAGAAATAATTGATTTATCAATATTAAATTATTTAAATATAAAACAAATATGGCTTTTTTTTTGCATATATTTAAAACGAAAAAAAAGTTCTCTTTGCTGTCGATTCAATCAATGATAGACAATCGAATAAAATACACTAATTAAGTTTAATCTTTTAATTGATGATGTATACCAACAGAAATAGCAATATTTCTATTTGTTTTCAGCAAATCAAACTGAACATCTCGAAAATATAAATATTAAACAAATTTCTTTGAATTTTCATCGTGTTTTATAAAAATATTAGATAAAATTTCATCCATTTATTTAATAAGATGTTCTTTATATCAACGATCTTTCACATCATTTGTTGATCTATTCCATAGTGTATTTTATGATTTTATCATGTTCTTCAATAATAGATGTCTTCAAAAAATCTGGTTCAATCATATTACTATATCAATCTCATACAGCCGTTTCATGATGAAGACATTACGAAAATGTTTCCAATACATATGTTGGTGCTGAATATGAAAACATATCTGATGCAATTAAATAATTAGGAATGAAACAAATAGTAACAATACGTGGAATCTCTTTTATTAATAAGTAATGGTAAAATCTTTTTTTGTTGTCATTGCAAATAGGAGCATTATTAGCTAATACACGAAGAATTTTTGTCTTAATATTAATCATTTCATAAACATTATGAAAAATCTTCGTTTTGAGTTATTTCTAATTTCAAGACAATTGCACGTAATCAAAGAAGTTTTATTCATCTATCTTTATTTATTCTGACTATCAGTATCAGCAAGAACATTAAAATGTTGTTTATTTAATTCAATTGCTTATCCATGATCAAAACCAGCTGATGGGATACATAAATAAAACCTATAAAACCAATTGTATAAAGAGATCAGAACATACTTTTGTGTTTATTTACGTCAATATCTAATGGATAAAAATTATAATAAAAACATTATAGTCCATACTTGTATAGTTTGTATTCCTGAAATTTATAATATTGATGTAATTTTAAAATATTAAAGGGGGAGGGGGGGGGAATTATTTATTTATTAATTTATGAAATAAAAAAACAAACATTTAGAAATTCTAGAAAAATCAATCTGACAATTATGTGCATAGATAAAATTCAATTAAACGATTATGTCTTGAGAGTGTTGAAATGTCAAAAATATATGTTCTAATGATGTTAATTCGACAGTATAATTTGATGCAATTATATTTTGTTCAACAAGTTGTTCTAATAATTTAAATAAATATGCTAAACTACCTTTTGGATATATATATTCATTGGTATTATCAATACGTTCAAGTGATGGTATTTGAAATGATGATTGAAGTAATGTTAATCGTATACGATAATTAGCACTATATTTATTTTTAAGATGTTCAGGTGAACCTAAACATCTTGCATTACCACGAACAAGTATTGTTAAACGATCACATAGTTGTTCACATTCAACCATTGAATGTGAAGCAAATATAATTGATGTATCAATAGGACGATTTTGTAATATAAGACGTATATGACTACGTAATAATGGATCAATTTTTGCTGTTGGTTCATCAAGTAAAAGAAGTGTTGGTGAACCAATTAAACATAAAGCTAAATGAAGACGACGACATGTTCCACCACTTAAATGTGATACTAAACGATGACGATATTTTTCTAATTGAAATTGTGATAAAATTATATTGTTTAATAATGATGGATTAAGACCATGTAAACGACATATATAATCAATAGATTGTAGAACAGTTAAAGCTGAAAAATTAATATCATTTTGTGGACAATAACCTATTGATGTATTTTTATTTTTATAAATATAACCACCAGTTGGTCGTAATTCTCCAACTAACATTCGAAATGTTGTAGTTTTACCTAAGATAAATACATTTTAATATCGATAGATGAATCTTGCTAAAGAATTCTTTTTTTTTTTAAATAATACTACTGTTACATTTCCTCTAATTGATTATAATGAATGCTAACGAAGATTGACATATGGCTTTTAAACACTCAGACAATGCACTCTCTTTTTTTTTATGAGTAATAAGTAGAAATTCTTGTTTACGTTGAAGTAGATTAATATTTTAAAACTCAATATGCTTTTAGATAACTCGACATTTCTCTATCTAACGAGAAAACCTCTCTAGATGTGTCAAATCGCTTTTCGACCGAGACTATATTCATCTGATGAGTAATAGAAAAGTCTCGAATGACGTAGTTTTCCAAACCTTCGTTCTCGAGATATCGAAATTTTACTGGGTTTTTCGTTCTCTTTAGGCCATGTAGAAACTCAACTTTCAAATATCGACTTTAAACTTTGCACGAAAACAAAGTTTTCAAAGTGACTAGTTGATAGCACAAATTTTAGTTTTTCTAGTATTTCCTTTCGCGAGATATATATATATAGGAACAAAATTTTACTTTTACATATGAGCAAAATTTCGAATATAGAATATCTTACGGTAGACTCGAACATCAATTTTCTACATGATCACATGGAGACGATAAACTCGGTAAAACCATTCTAGATTTTTATATTATTCATCAAATAAACTTCGTCCCGGTCGAAAAGCCATTTGACATCTGGAGAAGTTCCCTCGTAAGATAAGCAATCTTATATAGGCATGTATCCAAATCTAATATTTCAAACTTATCTGATTCAATAAACTGTCACCCTAAAATATAGAAAGATGTTTGCCTTTGATAACTAAACGAAGAATTATTCAATGAGCTGTTCGGTTTAATAAGAGATTGAAAGAAAACTGAAAAACTATCCAAACTCATTTTGATTGACCCTAGTGCGTAGTCTAACAATCTTGCCGAAATCCGTCTGTTAAAATTCTCTAGTATTATTTCTTTACATCAGTTTTCTACCGATAGAAATATAACTGATTTTTTTTTTCAATTTTTAATCAAAAAAAAATCTGATTTCAACTGTTTCTCCCTTGAGATAAGAATATTTTTCTTCATTTATGCAAAAACAATCTAAACCGTTTGATTGCATGACTAATCTCATATTAGATAGTTTCGAAAGATTTTCTTTGTTAGAACAGCTCCAGCAGTATTACAATTATTTTCACTCTAGTAATAAAAGATGATTAATTGATTCGTATATTGCATTGTTCTTATTAAGTAAAAGAACATTGTTTCGCAATCTATGATCTATATTGGTTGTACCAAATGAATTTTCTATGTTCCAAAAAAAGTACTGGATATTCATTTTGTATATATAGCAAGCAGGAACAAACTAATTTCTGTGCTGGAAATCATTCTAACATCTTAAGGATATGAATAATGACTGGAGGTGGTTAAAAATTATTGAAAACTATCAGAAGTCATTAGAAATCAATGGGAATCACTTTAATTTATAGAAAACATCCAGTAATAAAGACTAAAGTAAAGTGCTGGTTTCTAATGATTTTCTTGATTTTTAATAATTGTCAATATGTCAAATGACTACTTTTGGTTTACTATTTTCCAGTGAGAGAAATCAGTTTGTTCCTTCTTGATACATAGATAAAAACTTTGTCTATCAAATGCTGAGTTTCAATGAATGAA